AAAAAAAAAAAAAAAATCCGAGGTGACTTAGAAATCGACCAAAGATATATTTATTCAACAGCTATTTGTTGTATTCAAATATCAGAGACACAGACTGACTTATCAGAGGTCATAGCTATTGAATATATGCCATGCATCAAGGATAATGCTATAAATACTGAAATAGTATTGAAAAAAGATATATCATGTTCTCAAATATCTCTTAGTATGTAGGAAACAAAGCTAAATGAACAATTACGAATCAGTGTGAGAAGTCCTCTCTCTGCTACAGAAACTTACTAAAATACCATATTTTTTACATTATCTTAGGTACTATAGTAAAGTTTGTTTTAACTCATTTAATTTTCCCCAAATCTTATTGGGTAGGTACTATTGTTTCTCCTAGCTGAAGATAAGAAATTCAAACAGAAAGGGGAAGCAGATTTTATAAAGCAACAAGACGTCAGAGGTAAAGTTTGAGCCTTACTTCAAAGTCTGTACTTTTAAATTCCAGATACACCATACACCTAAGATGCTGTTGGAAATTGCATTGCCGGAGAAAATACAGTATATCAAACTAAATTAAATAGCAAATGATTTTTAGCTGATGTATGCCCCACGCAATATGTGGTATGTGTTAAATTTTAAAATATTTGCTGTTTTGCTGAAACAAATTTAATTGTGTAGTCTATAGTTTTATTGGCTGAATCTGGCAACCATACTTGAAGTAGTAAGGAGTCTTGCCTTGGTATGAGAGAGACCAAAGATAGAGATAAAATGTTTAAGCCACTTTATTTGAATTGAGTCTTTTTTTTTCTGGCTTTATTCCCTGGTTGCATTCCAAATTTATGTGATAACTGTTACACCATGTATTGTTTTCTGCCTGATTTCATTATTATTATTATATCAACAACATATTCTTATGCCAAGAAAATTGTGTAAATAAGAAAGATAATAGAACGAAGATGAAGATAATAGATTATGTCTCATTGGTTACTATAAATTAAATGATGTAATGTACCTAAAATCTGGCTCTCGTGTCTGGCATCTAGCAAGTCCCCAGTAAAAGGTGATATTGGATGTGGCGGAGTTGTTACGTTGCTCGTGAATATTAATGTTTTTGCTACTGCTGCTACTTCTATAGTTAGTTATTACTGAAATAGTAAAGGGATCGTATTGATTCTCACAATAAAATCCTGATGTAGCCAGGGCTGAGAAAATGATGGTCATTTTCATGATGAAAGACTTATCAGAAGAACAGAGGTCATAGCCGTGACTCAGGTCTTCCTCATTCTAATTCAACTCTTAGTCTACTTGTTATCATAGATTTAGCATATATGGATATAATGGTTAATTTTATGTGTCAATTTGGGCTATATCTGGATGCCAGATACCTGGTTCAATATTATTTCTGGGTGTGTCTGTAAAGGTGTTTCTGGAAGGATGATCATTTCAATTGATAGACTGAGTAAAGCCAATGGCCCTCCCTAGTGTGGGTGGGTGTTATCCAATCCCTTGAGTGCCTGAATAGAACAGAAATGTGGGAGGTTGAGTTAGCTTCCTTCAGTGCTTGAGCTGAGACATCAATCTGAAGCTGTCTATAGTGGTCTTACTTCTGAGGCCCTCAGACAGATGAAATCTAGACCACTAGCTCTCTGACTCTTAGGAGTCTCAATTATACTGCTAGTTTTCCTGGTTCTCCAGCTTGCATGTAGAACTTCTCAGCCTCCATAATCTCATGAGTCAGCATCTTATATTAACTTTATCTAGCTGTCTATCTAGAACCAAGTAAAAAGTCAAACAAATGAACAAAACTCAAACTATCAATACATAAATTACACTGTACTTAATATGAATTACTCCTATCCTGACAGATTGTTTGCTGGTAAAAAACTGAACAAAGTATAATAAGACTATTAAATTCAACTGTTACTGAAATAATCCATTGTCTCACAAAAATTTGAAAAGAACGGGAGATAGATATTAAAGTAATCCTGGGAAACATTTTATTAAAATTAGAATGTTTAAGTGAAAATTCACTCATTCAGAGAATATATTTGAACATCTTTCTGTATTAAAACCTTCATTACAAATGGGACCTGTACACAGAAACATCAGTTTCATTTGTTATCCTTGAGAATTTTATAATTGGAGGAACAGAGAATCATGTAAAAGAAATAATCATGTCACCTGAATGACCTCAAACTCTGTAGCGTTCCGAGTACTCTTTCCTTAACTATCCCTATAGTAGTCCCAGTGCTCTTAGGTAGTCTAGTTCGCCCTTCACATACTTTCTGAGAATCCTGAGATATTTGCACATTTTCCACACACTTTTATCCATTGTAGTTTGTAGCTGCTTTCTGCAGACCACTGCTCCTGGCTTCTTCATCAGCTACTTTTGGCTAATTGAAAACATCTGTTTGTGTTACTATAGCTATGGCCCCTGTTCGTCTCACCCCAAGGTGTGGATCAAGGATACCACTTGATTCTTCAAAGCACAGATGACACAAGACTGTCGTGTTTAACAGCTTCACTAATACTAAAAAAAAAAAAAAAAAAAAAAAAAAAAAAAAAAAAAAAAAAAAAAAAATTAGCATAGAAAGATACTTACATAACTCCAATAGTTACATAACTCCAAGGGGCTCAAGACACATTAGATGAGAACCCTACTAATGGAAGTACCAGTAACTGGAAGAAGATCAAATGTAATATGGGACTTTGAATCACCTTAATATATGAATATATGAATGATGGAGATTATTCCTGAGAGGGTAGGTATGAGATGTCACCATATTACTTCTCTGCTTAAGAACTCTCCAGACTGTCTAGCAATGAAAGATAATTGGAGTTGAGGCTCCTCCAAAGGACAAACACCCCCTCAACGTCTTCCCCGGAAAACTTTATCGGTGATATGGTTTAGTTTTGTGAATCCACCCAATTCTCATCTTAAACTGTAAACCCCTATAGTCCCCACATGTCGTGGAAGTGACCTGGTGGAAGTATAGGGGTGACCTGGTAGGAGTATGGGAGGGGTGTCCCCCATGCTGTTCTCATGCTAGTGAATTCTCACAAGATCTGATGATTATATGAGTGCCTGACATTTCCCCTGCTTGCACTCATTCATTCTCTCTCCTGCCACCCTGTGAAGTGGTGCTTTCTGCCATGATTGTAAGCTTCCTGAGGCCTCCCCAGCCATTCACAGATGTGAGTCAATTAAACGTCTTACTTGCAAATTACCTAGTCTCTGGCAGTTCTTTAGAGCAGCATGAGAGCAGACTAATAGAACCAATATTTTTATAATCCATTCTCTTCTAGAAACTCCAAATACCAATAATTCTAAAATAATTCAACTCCTTGGCAAAGAAAGAGCATGCCTCAGAGCCTTTGCTTATATTGCTTTCTCTTTCTAGAAAGATCTGCCCACTCCACTACTTGGATAACTTTATCAGTAAAGTCTTACTAAAACTGTTTACTTTTCTTAGCCCATGCAGTCATCAGTCTCATTATTGATTTTTAATTACTCTTTGTTAGATTATATATATATAAAATAGCATGAAATGGGGTGGTGGTAGGGGGGGGTATGTTGGCTTAAGCATTTACTCATCAATGTACCTGATTATGCTAATAACTATGTGGATTTCCTAAGCCTAAGTTTTCTTATCAGTATTTTTAAAAAGATATAATAATAGTATATTAATAGAATTATTATAAAATCAAATTAGAAAACCCATAATGCTCCCATGAGGTATATAGTACAGACTAATTCAATAAACAATAAGTATAATAATTTATTAATGAAGTCTAATGAGGAAGCTGATTGAAATTTATTAAATTTTGAATAAGCTGAATTTTAAGCAAAATGATTTTGTAACACCCATATAAGGCATAGAAATTCTCCTGAAATTGGCCAACAATCTAATGGTAGCTCTTCCTACAGAATAGAAAAACTGTTCCATTGGTCTAGTAATCTATTGCTCTGAAGCACACCATCTCAAAACTTACTTGCTTTAGACAACACCAGTCATTTATTTGCTCACAAATAAGGTAGGGTTTAGCCGAGACAGCCCTTCTTGGAGCCACCAGACATCAGGGGAATCAATCAGCTGGAACTTGCAAGATTCACTTTTAATTTGGCTCACCCACATGGCCAGGCATGTGGACCAGGACCAGCTCTTTCTCTCCACATAGGTTTCTTCAAGGACTTCTTGGGCTTCTTCATAGCACGGCAGTTGGATTTCATGAGTAAGCATCTTAAGAGACAAACAATGGAGGCTGCCAGTTTAATAAAGCCTGAGCCAGAAGCTGGTACAGCATGACTTCCTCCATACTCTTTCAGTCAAACAGCCATAGAGCCCAGATCATGGAGAAAAACATAGACCCTACCTTTTGATGGAAAAAAAATTCACTGGAAAACTTTGGGGTTCTGTTTTAAAAGTACTGCATCTCCCTAACCTCCTGTAGTCACTGCCAGAGCCAGGGTTTAACTGCAGGCTTATTTGACGCCAAAGCTCATTTTATAAAGACTGAAACTGACCTGAGGAGAAATATAGCAGGTTTAAGTAATTTCCCATGAGGAAATGAAAACTCTGAATCCAAAGTCCTTAAATTACCTACTACACTGTAGTTCACAAGATGAAATGGACCAGTGCATGGCAGTGCATTTTTAAATTATGATGCTTTCTATCAATAAACTGCTTGTAAATATAAGTAAATTCGGATGTAGACTTGTGGTTTTAGCAGTATGGGCTAGACCACTATTATGAGCTAGAGAGGTAGTTCCAATATCCCTTGTGGTTAGATTGGTCATATGACTGAATTGTAGCTAATAGAATATGATTAGAAGTGATACAGACAACTTATAGACGTGAACATAAAATGCTTCCACAAGTTCCGCTATGAGTTTTGCTCCCTTCAACTTGGGAAAGAAGATAATCTCAAGGGTGACCTTGGGAACTATGAATTGTGGATGACAGAGCTGTCATAGTCTTGAGGGATAATCAAATGATAAAAATCATAACTTATGAGTGACTAAATGATATTCATCTTGAATCAATTCAGAACCATCTGTTTCTTTGCAAACAATGACTCTCTTACATATGTACATGTTTCTTGGATTTAGACTCTGTTGGGTTGTACTCTTTCTACAATTATAGCACATTGCTTCTCAGTCAAAATGAACTTTTCAGTGCTAGGTCATTGATATAATTTAAGTGTTCCCACCCAAACCTCAGCTTGAATTGTAACAATTCCCATGTGTCAAGGGAGGGGTCAGGTGGAAATACTTGAATCATGGGGGCAGTTTTCCCCATACTGTACTTGTGGTAGTGAGTAAATCTCACGAGATCTGATGGTTTTATAAATTTGAGTTCCCCTCCACAAGCATTCTTGCCTGCTGCCATGTAGGATGTTTCTTGGCTTTTCCTTCTTCTTTCTCCATGATTGTAAGGCTACCCTGGCCATGTGGAACTATGAACCTTGTTCCTCTATAAATTATTCAGTCCCAGGTATGTCTTTATTAGCAGCACGAGAACAGCCTAATACAGATCATGTATGGATGGGATGGAGGATAATAGACAGCTATCTATGGTTGGTCTCGAAGATATTAGGCTAGTGTGTGAGGTAACTTATAAAAATAATAATTTTCACTCAGGCTTATAAAACCAGACAAAGAGAAGAAAACTAGGATCTGGTAATATCTGGTGGATGTGAGGGTTTGGTTTCACTCTGAGCTTCCTAGCAGCTAAAGAGAGAGAGAAAAAAATAGCTCTTTTATTAGAAAAAAATTTATTTAAAGAATAAGCAACTATTTTGAAACAACTTCTCCTTTTTTATCAATGAAACAAACAGCAGCAAAATACTAGTAATGTAGAAATAATCCAGTTATACGATTTATTCAATATAAATGCTATAGAATTTGTCTGAAAATTATTAAGTATTCTGATCAATTTTGGATATTTCATGCAAAGTACACATCTTGAAATGAGGTAATAGGAAAGATTTGCTATAATTTTATATTAAAACTTTGCTATTTTAAAGGCTTTTAGGATAACCCCCAACCCCATAGTGGGGATTCTTTGGTACAACCAACAATAAATAGTAATATTTATTGAGGTATATATTAAGTATCTATTATAATCCAAATTAAATGTCAATTCGTTAAGCATTGCCTTCATTACTAGGTAAGCATTATTCCCCTTATGCAGAGGAAATGAAGGTACAGAGAGTTTAAGGGGATCACTCAGTGTGTTGTCGTAAGCTTCAAAGGGTAAGATGTGGAGTAAGCTAGGTCTTACTGTAGAACCCACAAGTACTTTTATTTTGTGTGTACACAATACCCCTTTTCTGCCACAGAGTCTAGAGTACATGAGAGCATAGAAGTCATAAGAAGAAGAATGAAAGAGAGGAAACAGGACAAGGAGTGACTTAAAGTGGTGAGGAAAAATGAGTGGTGTATTTGCAAGGGAAGCCAGAGCCTCCTTCTTATCCCCCCCCTTAGAGGGCTGTGTTTTCCACCGACTCATTGGTACAGATCTCATCACTCTCTTTTCTATGATTATTTCCAGGGTCTTACCTTGGGGATACATCTCAGGGAGAGCAGCCAGGTGGACTCAGCTGCTGGCTGCGTGGCTGTATTCATAACTAGCCATGGGGGCCCTGCAGACACTATGCCCCCTTCAGTGACATGAGAGTCCAGTAAGACAGTATTGCAGCCTTCCCCACATCATCTTCCCTGTAAACTCACATGCTTACCATCTGCATCGACTATTTAACTCTTGGCTTCTGCTGTCTTATATTACTATTGCACTGGTAAATGCTTCTCCCTCTCCCCTGCCTTTCCCTTAGGAAGAGAATCATGGCATCATACATATATTGCTATGTATTCTTATGTATTCCTGAGGCTTCTAGTATATATATTCCATGTAGTAAAAGCTTACTGGATAGAAGTATGTAAAATAGTACCTGAGCAAGATAGGATTTGAAGACCTTAAAGTTCCCCATTTCACTATTCTCTCAGCATCAAAACCTGAGGATTTACATAGTGTTTTAGAATGTACAAGTGATTTCACTTTAATAATTTTATGTGATCCTCACAACAACCCTGCCAGGCAAGCCATAGTGATTATATCTATATTATACAAGAAGGAAACTAAATCTTAGTGTGGTTAATTAACTTGGCCAAGGTCCCATAGCTGGCTTATAAAACATTTCTTGCATGAATGAAGGAAAGAAAGAATGAGGCACAATTAGGGCTTGAGACCAATTTGCTATGACTTCATATTCAGTGCTCTTTCCAATATGCTGTTTTGTCATTTTGACATCTTGGTTAACTAATTCCACCAAAGAATTTATAGCTTAAAATAATTTGAATGACACAACTCAGTGGTGGTAGGAGAGGCAAGGAGAAGAAAAGATAGCACATTTTTATTTCAGTAGAAGTTACTTTCAGGGAGTGCAGATGGGGCAAGCTGGTATGAGGCATATGTTTGGCAACTGGAATGTACATGCTGTCACACCCTAAAAGTAACACAGCATTGTCGCTGCCGCCTCTGCTTATTAGGTCAGCCTTTGAAGAACAAATTTTCAATTTCTCTTATTTTCCCCTCATTAAAGGCCTTGAAAATATAAGGTGAAAACTACCCATAAACCATTTTTGATCTTTCTCCCTCTCTCAGCTCTATGAATAGAACTGTCTTTTCCCTAAGCTTTAATCAGTGTCTCACTGAGTAAGTAGTGATAATCAAACCGATTTTTAATACTTTAACCCATTATACATAATTGGGCTCTTAAGTTACAGGAATAAATAGAAACGGATGAACCTTTAAATCCCTCAGCACTAAACGCTGTTTACCTGATTCACTTCAATGAATCAATCTCCCCATGTAATTCTCCCCCTCCCTGCAGCCCCCTTTAAAAAAATAAGACCACAATTAAATGTAAGGTGGTAGATCATTTCTTGCTGGCAATAATTATATGGGAGAATTTGAATCTCATCAGAAGGTCTAATTTGAAGTAATAAACCTTCTTGCTAATCTTATACCTAAAGTCAATGATCCCACTCTAATGTTGATGATAACGCAGCAGCCTAAAATAACAGACCGAATGAATGAAAGATAACCGTCACTTGAACTTTTTCCTGTGCATGGGTATAAAACACACTTATGAGGGAGACTGCTTCTAACTTTAAAGTTAGAAAAATAATTTGTTTATGTGTCAAGTGTTAGAAAATATCACTCAAGGCACCAGAACACCCTTGGAGAGGTAGAATCTCGGCCGTGGTACGCGACAGAAGTCTAGCAGGCTGAGACGGATGGTATTCCAGGCAGAAGAGATGGCAGAGGCCAAGTCAGCAAGATGGGAGGCCACACGGGCATGGTAATGAGTCTTACAGGCCTCAGATATTTGAAGGGAAAATGAATTGAGGTGAAGGCAAGCCTTCTCATTTTCTCCACTTTTAGAAGGTTGCCTGAGGTGTTTCAAAGATTTGGCTGCAGGGCTGAAATGCCTTGGGTGGTAATTTTTTTCCTAGTAATAGGAACAATTAAGTGTGGCCCAACTGGAGAATGACATGAATAGATCTGTGCTTTATACAGAGCTGCTTTGGCCATAGAATATAACATAGAGAAGATAAAAATTGGAATGGGGAGGAAACTGTTGAGAGGTGAGAGGCTAGAGTTAGGCAGTGACCTCTAGAGTGAGAATGTGGAAGAGTCCCTATTATGCTATAATGTTAAAATTCTGAAAATTGAGTGAATAGTCTGTGGGAATTGAAGAATTTTTGGTACCAGAAAATGATTATAATTTAAAAGAAGAAGATAATAGCCTTTCTTAGGTACAGAAGAGAAGAACGAGGTTGGAAAATGGGGACAGTAAGAGGATTTGTCTTTGGCGCAGTGATGTAGAAGAATGTTCACACTCTCATGCAGAGATGTCAGAGGATGCTAGGCAGGTGGTGTTAGTCATTAAGAAGAAGCAGGGCTAGTTGTCAGTGGCTACTGGGAGGCTAGAACAAAGCTGTGAAACCAAGTCTATGTAAAATTATGAGGGAAGAAGCGAGGAAAAACAATGGTACTTTGAGAAATGTCTAAATGTGAGGGATGATCAAGAGAAGAAGAGGCTGGAAACAACAAGCTTTCATTGTCTCAGGAGTTAGGGAAGAGACCAAAGGCCGATGTGCCATGAAAATCAAGGAAAGAGAAACAACTTCTTGCTAAGAGTTCTGGTAAGATAAAAAATGAATAGATTTGGCAATTAGAAGACCACTTATCATAAAATCTTAAAAAATAAAAGTTTCTAAAGGGAACTTTGGAAGTAAAGGCCTGCATGTTAAGATTTGAAGCATGCCCTTTGGAAAATTAGTAGTGAACTTAAATTATTTTTACCAGATGTTTGACAGTGAAATGGAAAGTGATAGACCAGTGCAGGTGAAGCCTCCAGGGGGTGCAGGAGTGCAGGGCGGATTTGGTTGCTATTTTCATTGCTTTCTTTGTTTGGCTATTTAATAGGATATTTGAAATTTGTGTATAAGGGAAAGAGAATGACTTTTTTTTTAAACAGGAAAAGGGACTGGAAGCAACATGTATTACACATTAAAGATGTTTTGTCAGTTAGGCATGTGTACTGACTCTTACATAAAAAACCAACTTAGTCCTGATGGTATCAAGAGGAAGTTAGCACACAAGTGTTACGGTGGACAATGATGGGCTGTGATGTC